ACCTCACGACTGCAATCCACCCAATAGCCCAGAGCCACGTCCTATTGGGGAATATTGGTCAATTGTCAAAGGAATCTTGAAGAAAACACGTGAAAGAGTGAAAATTATTGAAGAGTGCAAAACAAAGTAGTTGTGCCCATCGCGTAATGTCGATGATGCAGTCGTGCAGAAAATGATGGCGCGTGTGCGATGAAAATACCGATCACTTGCATATGGAGCAAATAATAACACTATGCGACAGTCAAAATCGGGATGGGATGAAACCAATGGGAAATGTTATATCGGTCAAAAACAAGTTATACGTGTCCCGGCGTTTCGCTGGGTCACGTCTAGGAATCGAGATATATATATAACTATCATATAGGGGAAATTGTCATAACTCGAGAACCACTAGTCCGATTTTGCTCAAACAAATTTAAAAAAATTAAAAATTACAATTCCTTTAATCTGTTCATATAACGTTTTTCTATATAATCAAAATAAAAAATAAATGTATGAAGAAAAAAAAATTTTTTGCCTAAAATATTAAATTTTTTTAAATCTGTTGATTATATAGAAAAACGTAAAGGTGATATTTGGGGCTACATAAAAAAAATTTATTAAAAAAAAAAATCAAAAAACAAAAAAAAATACAGAATTTTGAAAAGCAAAAAATCTTAAAGTAAAAACTTACATTTTTGCAACATTTTTTCTACAATATCCCTAACTGATCTAAAAAGATCCTGAAATTTACGAGAATGTGTTTTTTAAGATAAGAATTTTTGAACTTTTGTTTTCTTTTGCAAACTCTAAATATAAATGAACTAAAAATTTCAGTTTGAAAAAAAACAATAAATCTAAGCTCAAAAATGTATATCTTCAAAAACACACCTTGAAAATTTCATTGTCTCTTAAGATCAGTTAGAGGCGTTGTAAAAAAAAAAGAGCCAGAAACGTTTATAAGTTTTAGATTTTACGATATTTTTAATTTCAAAAGTCTGTAATTCTTTTTTATTTTCCCCTTTTATATATATTTATAGCACTAAAATCATACTATAATAATTTTTGATAATATTAAAACAATAAACTTTCGAAATCCCGAGAATTCTAAAATTAAGAATTTTGCATAACTTTGATAAAAAATTTTGATTTTTTCCTTTATCTAAACTTTGTTACACGATAACAGAAAAGTTCTGATCAATATCCATCCAAATCAAAAATGATCGATTTCAACTACTGGTCGATTTGACATGAATTTACCCATAAATAATTCAACAAAAGAGCTTCTCGTAAAACCCATTCTTTACTTTACCGTATGAAACTACGACCAAACAGATTGATCGATTGTATGTAGCTCTTGGCGAATATGCTGCAGCTCTTATTATCTTTTTTCAAAATCAGGAAGTCACATCAGAGGACGTCACTCTGCCGGGAACTACGCTTACTGTCAAACGCTGCATAGACTCCTTTCCAGTTCTAAAGCCCCTGGTCGTATTTCTTGAGGCCATTTTATACAGCCGTTTCGCGCGGATAACAAATTCAGGCATTGCTACGAAGGTGGCGAGATGTTGCGAGTTGATCCTTCTCTCGCACCAATTTTCCAAGACTTGCGGGTGGATTTTCCAGGTACCATTTCAATCCCATTCAGCTATAACTGAATAATTTAGCTGGCACATTGATAGCTCCGGCAGTTTTTTTGCTTCTCATTTCGGCAATGCGTCGTCCTCGACCAGCTGGCGACTTTAATTTAGCTTCTATAGTACCATTACCGTTAAAAAGATTGGAAAGGTGTTTCATGCCTAATTTAAGCATGCTCTGAACACCGGTTACTAAATAGGTCTATCGAGGTTGTTCTCACAGGAGTTCGTCCTGTCAGTTCAAGATTTTTGCACTCATTCGTCTGGGCATCTCTCTTTTTGTTATGGCAAATAAATACGTCTGCTTCTCTCTTAAGCTGCATACCCCTTAGGAATCACACGTTGATGCGACTATGGCGAAACATACGCTGGAGACTTCAATAGATGCCTAAACCGAATACGACAGAGTCAACCCACTAATGCTCCCTCTGATTCTGCCATGAACCAAGGCTTCATTCGGTTTAGTTACAATATCCCGCGCATTAGGTATTCCTGTTGCCCAGTGTGTGGCAACTACCACGCAAGAGTAGGAGTTCAGCGACTGCTACCCTGCGCTCCTTTTTTTTTTGCTTTGTAAATTATTATAAACCATGCTATGTACTATGAGAACAATGGGATTTAATACAAATTTGATCCACAATTTCAATCCATGTGAGAATTGTGATGCATGCACGTAAAATCCATATTCCCAAATTACCCACGCATCCTTTCATATTATATATGCCCGACATTAAAGTTGTCGATGCACGCATATGTATCCTCATGGTATGCATTGTAGAAGTACATATGTATATAATTACATATGTATGTATATATGGATATTGTTGAGCATGCATGTGTGGCTTTTAAAAATGGCAATAGGTATTATGGATTACTGCAAGCAAACATATAAACGTATATATGTATGTAAAAATATATGCACATTTACAGTTGCACGTTTGCGCACTTTATTGGTATTTGGCACATGCCTAAAGTAACCAGATACATATGTATGTATATGCATTTTAAATACAATAATGCTCACATTAGAGCGGCACCCACGTGATCAA